TCTTTCACCTTTTTTCACTCTCTTTCGTCCTCTCTCACCCTCTTTCATTCTTTCTCACCCTCTTTTGCCCTCTCTCATCCTCTTTCGACCTCTTTCACACTCTTTCGTCCTCTCTCACCCTCTTTCGTCCTCTTTCACCCTCTTTCGTTCTCTCTCACCCTCTTTCGACCTCTTTCGTCCTCTTTCACCCTCTTTCGTCCTCTCTCACCCCTCTCACCTCTTTCACCCTCGTACGTCCTTTCTCACCCTCTTTCGTTCTCTTTCACCCTCTTTCGCCTATCTCGTCTTCTCTTACCCTCATTCGTCCTCTCTCACCCTATCTCCAAAAAATCATAAAAATGAAAAGGTCAAGCCATGTTCAAAAGAAGGTCCTCAAAAATTTAAACCTAGTCTGTACAATGAAAAATAATTACTCGTAATTCCAGAGTTCCAATTTGTTAATATCGAATAATGTATTTGTTTCAAGTAATGGCAGTAGAGTCAAATACATACCTACGTATATGCAGTTTTTGCTGTTAATTGTACTTGAACGAAAAAAATAATTAAATGATTTAAATATAGCACATTTTAAATCAAGAAACTTATATAATCGAACTCTGTTTAGGAAAAGGTAGAACATTTCATTTGCCTCTGCCTTTACAAGAAACATTGGATAAGGTATGTCCTCCGGAAGATCCTATAAATTTGAATCACGAGTTGCACATTCTCGTTCGAGGTATACCCAAGAAATCTAAAGTGGTTTGGGAAAATTTGGTAGATATTAATAAAATGTATAAGGCTTTACAATGGTTGAAAGAAAATAATCCTCATTACTCAAAAATTCGTCTTCCAGCGTCATCTGATGATCTATTAAAGGATAAGTTGCAGGAAACAGAATATAGGATTGTCGATGAGGAAAGCGACAATGACGAAATAAATGAGGTGGTTGAGGAATTACCAGCATTGAATTTGTACAATGTACAGCAAAACAAAAATAATAATGATCAAACCGTTTTAAAACGTACGGCTTTTCTCACACAAATCACTGAACATTCGGATATTAACGATCAGTATACAATATACCCAATACACGCGAAAAGAATCGATAACGAATCTGCATTGAAGCTTTATCAAATGGTGAAAATTGAAGATTTTCCAATGGATAATCGTTATAAATATCTGGATGTCATGTGTTTCCCTGATTTATATCCTGATGGTGTCAATGGACAACGAGAAGATAGAAACTTTGCATTGCCGGAATATTTATTTATTAGAACACGATTGATGTCGAAACATAGTAGATTCAGGTTGAATCTGCAGTATCTGTTCTTCCTTCTCAATGATGCTAACTACCGACAGTTGAAAAGTGGTATCTATTATACGATGATGGTTACTAACCCACGAGAGAGATACACTGCTGGTAGATACTTGAACGAATTGAAAGGTTACCAATTAGAATCGAATTTAATGAGTATTTTTGCAAAATTGAGAAATACGGATCAATTTTGGCGACAACCGTCCAATAATGTAAAATGCATGACTTTGCATTACGGTCCAGCGACGTGGTTTTTGACTTTGAGTCCTAGTGAATGGAAATGGTCCGATTTGGGTGAATATTTACGAGATATGAATCCCGATAAAGAGAAGTTAGGCATCAACGAACTAATCGCATACGATCCTGTAAGTACTTCTAGATTCATGTGCATAAAATTCAAAGCCATGATTGATTTTATTTGTTCGTCCGATAATCCTATAGGAAAGGTTATTCATTACTTCTGGCGACTGGAATATCAACGTAGAAGTATCCAGCACATGCATTGTATGATTTGGATAAAAGATGCTCCAGTATTAGGAAAATCGCCGGATGAAGAAGTTGCTACGTTTATTCAAAAATACGTAACGTGTGAAATTCCAGATGAAAATGTTTCGCCAACGTTGTACGATACGGTAATAAGTGATCAGAATCATAAACATAACTCGTATTGCATGCGTACGAAAAAAACGGAAACTAATATATACAGAAAGTGTCGGTTCGATTTTCCTCGGCCAGTTACTGAGAATTTCGTTTTAAGAGACGTTATCACTTCGATAGTCGGTAGAAAAAATTTACGCAGTAAGAGCAGATTGTACGATCTTCCTCGCAAGGAGTCGGAAAGGTTTATAAATGATTATAATCCGTCTATCAAATTAGCCTGGAAGGGAAATATGGACATACAATTTATTAGAGAAAAATCAGAGTTTTTAAACTCATATTTAACAAAATACACGACAAAGTCGGAAAAATGCAATACAGACTTTGAAGTGATAGATTCGAATAAGTCCTTGGCATCGAAACTGTGGAATTTTGCAATGCGTTCATTAAATAACAGAGAATGCGGTGCTTTAGAAGCTGCGGATACACTATTAGGGAATCCCTTGTACGGTACGGATAATGATACCATGGTCAAATGGATCGATGTTAATGAGGTGAGAAATAGAAAAGTTAAAACATTTAATGAAATTTAAGCTCTTGATGAAAATTCTACGAATATTTACTGTTCGTCACTCATCGATGATTACTATCCAAATAGACCTCAGGAATTAGAATCATTGAATTTGTACGATTTTGCCAGATTCTGGGAAATTACGAAACAGATGTCAAATAATGACGAAGTCAAGTGTTACAAACTGGCATCGGGTTTATTTTTAAAAAAACGAAAAAAGGGTTATTTAATTAACCATTATCGATTTAATATAAAAACTGAGCCCGAAAAATACTTTTACTCGCTGCTTCTTCTGTTCAAACCATGGAGAGATTTGAGTGAACTCAAAGGTACATTCGAGACTTACACGGATGCCTTTAAGAATTCAGAGTCTGTTTTAACGAAGGTAATGAAATATCACGAAAGGCTCGAAGAAATACAGAAAGCTTTTGAGAACGTTGCTGAATTAATCGAGAAGCGCGAAAATGATCTGAAAACAGCAGACAGAGACAAATCCGATGACGATGAACTGGATTGTAATCCGATAGAAGCTGACGACGCGATGAAAGATCTGGAAGATTTTGGTAAGATTGACGACCCGATTGATTTATCGCAAATGATGTCGCAATTGAACAAAACCAGAAAAGAGTCTTTGATGGAGTATGCCAAGTTTTACAAGATAAGAATCAGATTCTGCGACTGTACGTAAGTGGCGAGGGTGGTACAGGGAAAAGTTTTCTAATTGAAACGATTAAACATTGGATCAGAATAAATTTGGAAAAAACGACTGCCATATCTGCTCCCACGGGTATCGCAGCATTCAATATCGATGGCTTGACAATCCATAGAATGTTTCAACTACCGGTTAGTCATGAATCTACACCAAAATATACGCAATTGTCAGACATGGTCTTGAAAACTTTGAGAGACAAATTAAAGAATGTCGAATTATTTATAATCGAAGGAATTACATGTAACAATGCAATGATGGATTTAGGAACGACTGTATTCAGTGATGGTCAAGCCTATGTAGGTTTGTCACGAGTAAGTAAATTGGAAGGCCTACATTTGATAAATTTCAATCCAGCATCAGTTAAAGCAAACTCGAGAGCCATTGTAGAATATAATCGACTGAGATCTATATTCAAATCTGAACTGCCACAAATCAATCCGTCCGAGAAAAAGGTTGTGAAAATGTACGATCGTCGATGGGATATCCCTAATATCATTGATGATATGCAGAATTATGATTGTGAGGAACCAGAAAGTATAGTTACGTGGAAAATATATGGCCTTTGCAATAACGATGCTGTTTCGTGTTACGCTAATGTAATATTACAATGTGCGTTTCATTGCGTACGTATTAGGCAACAAATACTGAAAAATAAAGCATCGAATGCATTGACTGATGCTATCTGCGCGTATGGTGAACGTAAATATTGCAACATTCAAGCGGTTAGAAGATCTGTCGGAAAACGCTTCGAAGAACGAACACAACAAGATGTTTCGGAATTTTTTACGGCTCTAATGTCGACGTATTCCGACATCAATGATGTATTAAAACTCGAATTAAAGCACGTAACATGTTGCTCGAATGTCAAATGTAATTACAATGTAACTAAGCTGGAAAGCAGTAGTTTGTTAATATTACCTATACATTCGACATTAAAAAGGAAAAAAGGTGTCACTCTACAAAGTTTGATTAATGTAGAATTTTCTAAATGGGAAACGATAAACGGCAATTGTAACGAATGTAAGGGCACCGTGTTGAAAAAGAAAACCGTAATCGAATCAACTTTATCCGTCGTAGTAATACAGCTCAATTTATATACTTTTATAAACGGTGCTTCTAAAAAAATTATCAACAATCGAATGACCGCCGTGCCGACGAGTAATATCACGATTAATAAAAAAAAGTACAAGCTAATAAGCGCTATATTTCACGAAGGTGAAGAAATGAATCGTGGTCACTACACGTGTATGTTGAGAGCTGACACAAAATCGGAATGGTATTACTCTAATGATATGGAAGTGTTCAAGAAAAAATGGCCCAAAGGAGCACAAGGGGCATAAATATTGTTCTTAGAACAGATTAAATAATGGCGCTGTATAAAGGCTGCCGTAAACGCTACATTAAAACATCAACTGTTCTAGCGCTGTATAAAAGTTGCCGTAAGCGCCAAAATAAAATATCGGCTGCTCTGGCGCTTTATAAAAGCTGCTGTAAGCGCTGCATTAAAACGAGTGCAATAAGTTTCTAATTTGACCTAGGCTTCATGACATTTCAAAAAGTATCATCAAGAAAAAAATTATCAGACAGAAATATGTATGTCGTGTTAAAATCGGAGAGACGAAGAAAAATATATGGTTGCGTTCTCACGAGAATGGGCGATGGAGGGGCCCATTCTTTATTTTCAATATTCATACAAGAATATAAATTCATTCTGTTGCAATTGAAATAAATGTGCAATGTATCGTTAAAAGTTATTACAATTATACAAACATTTACATATATGATTAAATAAAATATATATGTATACTATAATATAATTATATATTTTATATATGAAGACGTCGCTCAAGGAAACGCTCTAGCAGAGCGTATTGCGGAGGCTCGTTCGTTTCACTGATGGAGGTCTCCCACTCGCGGCGAGAGCGACTATCGAGAAGGTCAACGGCGAGGTGCACAAAGAGATCTTCAGTACTCCCTACTGGCCGGTCGATGCTCGTCAGCGAGCTGACCGTAGTCTTGATGCCGTGGAATATCTTCCTAAGCTCAGCAGCGGATTCTCCCTTCATCTTTGGCAGGCTTAAAAAATTTGTTAAATAAGAGCGGGTTAGTAAGCGTTTATTTTCGTAGTAGTCGCTTAGAGTTTGCCAGGCTCGTTCATAATTGGCTTCGGTAGAACTGAGGTCTCTGATGAGAAGATCTGCTTCGCCCTTGACACAGCTCTTCAAGTAGTGCATTTTTTCTACAGGCTTCGTCGTCTTATCCTGGCCGATGAGGGAGACGAAGAGGTCTCGGAAGGCCGGCCAATCCTCGTATCTTCCCGTAAAGGTCGGCAGCTGGATTCGAGGTAGCGTGGTGCGAGGCGCCGATGTTGATGTTTCTGAAGTAGCAGAAGCAGCGGCGCGTTCCTTTTTCTGGAGAGTACGCCGCATCTTCAACATCAGGCCCTTGTTCACTAGGTAAGACTCTTCGCCGAGTGAAGGTATGTCCTGTTTAGCATAGACGTCATGTTTTATTTCGTCTACACGCTCAGCCAAGATATCATTCATCGCATCGAACTTCTCCCACAGTTTGTCGAGATTCAGAAGCCGGGCTTCCACCGCGCCGAGTGTGATGTTGGCCTCGCCGAGCTTCCGAAGGTTATCGTATGCGCGCGAGATCTTGCCATATAGCGCGGTGGCGTTGGTAATTATAGTTGCCGTGTCTGCCATCTCTGACACTGTCTTATTTTTCAGATGCACTGAAAAACTCTACGCTTCCGTGGCACCGGATTCACAGGAGGTTCTGGAGGATCCGGCTCGAAGGACCAAAAATAATGTGCGCGACAGGAGGCAGGATAAGGATGTCGGAAGCGAGAAGACGGCGAGGCACTACACTCGACACACACGTATCGTTTAATATAACTATATTTGAAACTAAAACAAAGAAAAATACAAGTACTGAAACCGCACAGAATTTACAAAAAGATAACTGATTAGGAGAATCCAAAAGAAATAGCCGAGTCGGTAATTAATAATTAAATGTTCCGCAAGCAACGGTAATTAAACGTGGTAAAACGAAAAAGACAAGCGATCCTTTTTCGTACAGTAGAAACACACTCTTGACGCGACGAGCAATCGGAAAAGAGCGCCGCGATCACGAGAGAGGAGGTTTTTATAGGCCCGTGTTTCTAGAATAGTCGAGAATAATTCTCTTTATTCTATCGTTCGGCTGAGGTCGAAAGAGCGTTTTGTGTAATTATTTACTTTTAGAAAAATAATCTTTTTGTTGTTAACGGGACTAAAATGTATCTCCTCTCGCGCGACCGCGGTGTTTACAATTATCGATGAGTCGACGTAAGCGCTTTCTTTTCGCAGGCGCGGGGTACGTATACGTATACCAGTGCGGCCGAGCGCTATTTTAAATAATGTTAATTTAAAATTATGCATGATGCATGTTGCATGGGGATGAAACGGCTGCATGAAATTTAACGCAATGATGTTTTAATGCTCTTAATCCTGCAGGTTTTTTAAACGTTCGAATCTCGAACAACATATATGATTAAATAAAATATATATGTATACTATAATATAATTATATATTTTATATATGTACATATATACCATATATTTCAATTATTTTGAACTGTATTGCATAAATTGTTACTTATACAAAGTTATGTGATAAGAATCGAAAATACATATATTTGTGATACTTGAATTACTAGAAAGCTGCTCTATATATCTGTACTTTAAAAAATAAGTGATATCCTAAAAAAATCATAAAAATGAAAAGGTCAGGCCATGTTCAAAAGAAGGTACTCAAAAATTTAAACGATCTAATAATAAATTATCACGAAAAGTAACTGATATGTTATTCAAGGTGCCAGTTCAAAGTGAACATACGTAAAGTGTATATTATCTAAATTTAGTAATAATATATTACCATGAAAAGTAACTGTGATATTTTATTCAAGGTGCAAGTTCACATTGAATATACATACATATAAGTAAAACTGATTACAATTTGATTCTAGAAAATAAGTGCGATATGTTATTCTTAGTGCACAAAATATAATAGTCGTTTATAGAGATTTGATTTGAAATTCATACTAGCCCGTACAATGAAAAATAATTGCTCGTAATGCCAGAGTACCAATTTGTTAATGACTCAGAAAAATAACATGGCGGCCTGCTCTCAAAAAACTTTCGATGGGTAGAATAAATAATTGAAATAAGAGTTGTGAAAATTGTATAAATTAAAAACCTCCAATCTTTCTTTAGTAAAATTTCGAATTTTCGTATCAACTTCCGATTTGTGTTATACCGTATTTTCAGGGAGTAAGTTATTGATCAGAAAACTTTGCCTTGTTGCTCGAAACGGGTGTATATTAAGTAAAATTTATAAATGTACAGTTCTCAGGTCAACTACAATAAAGCTATACGCTTAAAAAGTTTACTGATTATTTGTCGTAATATACAATAAAAAATTACATATTAATTATTCAAGATACAAGTGAGAAATAAATATCATTAAAATATACAAAAAAAATATATCAATTTGACTCTGAAAAGTAAGTGACATGGTTCTCAAAGTGCAAGGTTTCATTTGACTTACAATTTTCTTCAGAAACACAGAAGAAAAAGGTATTTGTATATAGTTTTGTATATTCACTTCGTTGTGTGTGTAGAGCTTTTAAAAATACGTTGAATTTTTATTCTAATCTAATCTTCTTCTAATGTAATACTTTTCGTATTTCAAATGTTGTAGTAATTATTCTGTAAGAGCTTTGACATTATTTCTAAATGGACATCGAGAAACATCATAGTTTTTTGAGAGCAGGCCGCCATGTTATTTTTCTGAGTCATTAACAAATTGGTACTCTGGCATTACGAGCAATTATTTTTCATTGTACGGGCTAGTATGAATTTCAAATCAAATCTCTATAAACGACTATTATATTTTGTGCACTAAGAATAACATATCGCACTTATTTTCTAGAATCAAATTGTAATCAGTTTTACTTATATGTATGTATATTCAATGTGAACTTGCACCTTGAATAAAATATCACAGTTACTTTTCATGGTAATATATTATTACTAAATTTAGATAATATACACTTTACGTATGTTCACTTTGAACTGGCACCTTGAATAACATATCAGTTACTTTTCGTGATAATTTATTATTAGATCGTTTAAATTTTTGAGTACCTTCTTTTGAACATGGCCTGACCTTTTCATTTTTATGATTTTTTTAGGATATTATTATACAAAATAATAATGCTCCCAAGCGGTCACCATCTAAATATTGATCATGTTCAAGCATTAGTTAACTTCAACGATCGGACGATAACTTTACTTTTTAATCGAGCTTTATTTAATTATACAATTATATATATTTTTATATAAATTATATATATATATATATATATAAAATATTTTATTTATATAACATGTCTCTTTTCTTAATTTCATATTCTCTACAAGTTTGTGTCATAGTACTTTTAAATATGTTTATAATTTTAGTATTGTTTTAAATTTTACATTTTTTAAGGAGTCGGGTTGGCAGTTGATGCGATAATTGGCGGTAGTTACAAAGTAAGTACAGGATCAAGTAAGTACTTCAATTATATTTTTATTTTATTTAATTGAAAAAAATACAGAAAATAATAAAATGGTAATTAAAAATATAATAAAATTATCAAATTACGATATAAATTGTAAAACAAATAATACGTGGTTGGAAGATATTCATATCGATGCATTTAATTCTATATTAAAAAATTGCTCTTCTTTTGGTCCTCGTGATACATGGAGGATTCAATGTCCCGAAACAATAGAGCCTATTTCAGCTATGCAAGAACATATACAAATCTTGCATAGCAGTACATTGAAATATGATGGTCACTGGTATGCAGCTATTATGATACTAAATATATATATATATATATGATTCATTAAATTATGGAAAACTGCATGCTCATCATGAAATATATTTAAAAAATTGTATCCATTTTTAATTTCAATAAAAATAATATTAAATTTCCTAAAGTGCAACAACAACCAAATGGAAATGATTGTGGTGTGTTTGCAATTGCTTTGCTATATCATTATTATTTGGTTTAAAACCAGATATTATAAACTATGAACATTCTTTGATGAGAAGTCATTTATTTAAAATTTTTGATACTAATATAATTGAACATTTTCCACAAAATTGTATTAATAACATTCCAGAAATGTTCCACATTTAAAAGTAGTAGAACGCAGAAGAGTAGATGCACATCGAAAACGTGTGCAAAGAAAATATGAAACTCAAGAACAATATGATCTTCGAATCAAAAAACAATTAATGTATGATAAACTTGAAGAAAATAGAATTAAAAATCGTGCAGCAAAACGAAAAGCATATGCATATAATTTATTAGAAAATCGTGCTATAAAGCGTTTAAAATATGCAAATGATAGAAATGATAAACGTGAAAAAAAAAACGTAAATATTATGTTTTACATAAGAAACATGAATGTGAAAGATTAGAAAAATATATACGTTGTCCTACAAATAAGAAATTATCTAATAAAAAATATTATGAAAACCACAAGAAATATATAACAAAAAAGCAAAAAATTGTATAGCTAATAAAATATGTTGGAATATAGGCGTATGTATTTAAAAGAAAATAGAATTGGAATTTTGCAATCAATGGAAACATATGTTAAAATCCTCTTACGAAATATTAAAGGATCTTCAATAGAAGAAAAAAGACTTCGAGCAGAACGAATAATTAAATGGTGTATACACGCTAGAGAAAAATACATAATAATCTTGAGAAAAACATTGGCATTATTAAGAGAAAAAGCAGAAGTATGTTTAAGTCGCGCTAATAAATGTAATGATGATATTACTTCCAATAATTATAATCAAGCTTTATGTGGTTCAAGTAAACATACTGCTTCCACAGAATCATATTTTTTTGAAACTAATTACAAGTATATTGAATTTAAGGAAGCATTAATAATAAATAAAAATGGACAAGTAACTAATGTTTTACCAATAACGACAAAATGTACACGTAATAAAACAACAATATTTTTAAAATGTGGATCTCTATGTAGAATAAATGATGCTATCATAATTGAACGATTCAAACAATTTTTAACAACAATATCAAAGTGTTCAAAAGTGAGAAATATTTCTACATTTATTAAATCAATAGAAACATGTTCATATTCATATAGACAATCGAATAAACTTGGTCATTCGCAAGTATGTTACATTGATCCCAAATTATGTAAATCTAAATTGTTGGCTTTGCATTTCTTGTCACCACATTATCCAAAGTGAGATATATACAAAGACTTGCTTCTCGCTTGACATATTATTACCACAAACTATTAAAATTGGACGAAGCTTTACATTCTGGTGATGTGCAAATTTTGGACAAAATTGTTGATAATATATGTAGGAAAAGTATGTTTACCGATGTTAATATCGAAACAGTTATAAACTTAAATGAAGATGAATATTATTAAAGTATTCGAAAGCTTTTACCGTATTGACAAAACGGTCTACAGATACACCTCAATTTGTATGTTTATCTTGTGAAAAACTTTGCTTTAAACGAAATGTTTTTAATGTGGGAAAATTAAGAAAGTCTTTATCAGGAAAACAATGGAAGAAATTAATAAACTACTTGCATATTGATTTAAAAAGTACAGAGTTATAT